ACTCTACCTATTGGAGATATCATGGATCCATAATTTAAATCCGTTTCTTTTGGGGGTTATACTGGAAAAGCACGACGGCACCAAAACTATTTTCCCCTCACACGAGCCACGACCGGCTTCGGATCAGCCAGAACTCACACTAACCCCTTTTGGTCAGCGTGACCGCACGGACTCTGCCTGAGTTCTGTCGGCAGCCACTCTTTGGCGGTAAGTCCGTTTTCTAGCTGCAGCATCGGCCCTTATCTTCTTTGCCACCTCCGTGTCCTTCAGGGCCCATAGTGCCGTAGCCATAGCACGCATCAGTTTCTGGTTCCCCACGAGCTTTGTCAAATTATCTGATAGAAGCTCCTCACCAGGAACCCATCGGACCAATCGGCTGCCCCCATCTTCGGCCAGTGCCTGTTTCATGGCCGCGATGTCGATAGCCAGCCTCTTGTCCTCTCCCAATGCCGTGCCATTGAGCAAGTCGTAGCCAGTTCTGGAATCCATCACCAGAACCAGTTTCCACTGTGCCGCTGTTGGCAACCAACTGTTGAGCCTGAAGTCGGGTCGAATTGCCTCTGCCAGAAGTGCTCGTACAAAATCAGCTTCCTCCATGGTTGAGGCCGCTTGTGAGATCTCGGCTGCAAGACTCGATCGGACTACTCTTTTCAAGAGCCCCGAGTGATGTGCCACTATGGCCATCTTCGCCTGTCCATGAAGTATCTCCGGATTGGCAAATGCAATGGCCAGTCCACCCTGTGATCTTCCCCTCGGCATTCCAGCAAAGGAGGCGTCTGATATCGCCAGGACGATCATGTTCTTGACCTCGCAGCCCAATGCCTCATATCGGATTGTCACTGGTTGTCGGGCTCTTTCAAGCAGAATCTTGAGTTCTGAAAGGGCTGCTGGGTCGTTCACCCCTGCAAGCTGTTGAACTCTCGAGACTCCAAATGACAAATCTGCTCGGCACTGCCTTGCCATCCAGTTCAACTGTCCAGCAATGGTGCCGATCCAGCGTTTTTCATTCGGCTGCAGTGGATGCTTCTGTTGTGGAGAAGCCCTTTGTGGTGGATCCAGCAATCTCTCCGCATACTTATCCATCTGAATCAGGACCGTGCCGTCCGAGAGCTGTTTCTCACATCGACCACAAAACTTCGTCCACTCTTCAGGGTGTTTCCACTCTCCAAAGCTGAACAGTGAATCCAGTCTTCTCCTCATCTCCTCGGCATGTTCGGGAGATGCCACCAATCTCACGTCATCCACATGCACTGCAAGAAGAGCTTGAAGTTCCGTGCCATGTCCAAAGAATGAAAACAGTCCAGGGCAAAGCTGAAGTTCCCTTCCCCCAATGGACTCAGCACCCCTTTTGAAGCGGTGATACCAAAGTCGAGGAGATTCTGCCAGTCCAAATCCTGCCTTTTTCATACGAAAGACATCTGTTCTGGCTCCATCTGGAATCTTCGTCCTCAGAAAGTTTCGAACAAACATCGGGTAGTTCTTGGGTGTTTGGATGAAGACCCGACGTTCGGCTGGTAGGTAATCTCCTTGCAGAAAGGCAGCGGAAATGTCTGAAAAGGCCATGATCCACTTCCATTGTGCCGCCAAAAAGCACAGGACATTGTGTGCCAGCAAACTGGCTGTAGGACTTTCCGTTTCAAAATCTCCTGCTCGCTGATCTCGATGTCCAGCAATCACCAATCTCGCCTTCAGCACTGCATCAGCAATGGCCTCATCTGAAGGGTGAGTGTTGCGTGGGTCATTCTTGTTGACCAGGACAAATCGAGATGGAAGTAATTCTTCATGTGCAATCACCTCGTCCTCCATGACTGGTGACAACGCGTCATGTTTGAAGTACACTTCCAAGGCCTCAAGTATCGGTTTCTCAAATGCCTTCTGCCACGCTTCTGACAAGTCATTCCATCGAAGCTCCAAACGCACCTTTCCGGTCTCGGGCTTCAAGACATCTTCAACATGCTTTTCTTCAGGTGTCTCAATCAACTCTCGTAGTCCATGATGTGTCGACTTCGGAGACGGACATGGAAGTTCGGAGTAGTTGATGTAGTTGAAGAAAACCTCTTGAAGCTCCTTCTGTATTTCCAGCATCTGCTGTTGGGAATCCGAGATATGCTCGACCACCTCATTCACTTCAGGCATCTCCAGAGGACCCAGTCGATGCCGGAGAAGAGAATCATTGGGCCAACCTGCAGCATCTCGAAGACTGACAAAAGCCTCTACTGCATGTTGTCCATCTCGCCACATCTCTTCTGCGAAGTATCGGCCTCTCATCCATGTCTGCAGAGTTGCTGGTGGATCTTCCGGATCTCGGATCTGAAATCGTGTAATGCCTTGCCAGAGCCTCTGAAGATCCTGTTGAGTGTTCCATCTTGGTCGAATACCTTGCCCTCTCCAGTTCAAGTTGTCGAGGACAAACTCATTCATCATCTGTCCAGGAGTTCTTCGACCAAAAGGATCCTCCGTCTGATTTGTCGATGCATTGATTTGTCTAGCCTGTCCCCATCGAAGAGGGTTGTGCAAGTAGTAGATCTGAGTTGCCCTCACCCCAGTGATCCATTCCTTTGTAATACCCCCAGGCAACTTGAGGTTGGATTCCGGCATTTCGGATTCCGGGGTATCTCTATGGAACTCAAGCACATCAAACATGTGAAGTCGAGGTTGGACATGTACTCGACAAAGTTCTCCGTCTTCAATGCTCAAGACCCAATAATCCATTGTCGGTGTCGGCTTTCGTCCTTGCATCTTGAGGATTGGTGATGACTCTTCCCGAGTCAAAGGCCTTTTCATCCTAGGAGGGACGTTCCTGAACATTGGCTCCAGGTTGGGTGGCAGCTTCAGCCTTGTCTGAGGCGTGGCTGGCACAGGCTGCATCGTAACGTCCAATCCCTGAGGATACACCATCCTATTGTCTCGATGAAGAGCAGACCTCTCAACTGCCATCACATCATCCTCCTCAAAGTCCGATGGCATGTCAAATGCTGGAGTCTGCAACGCTGTTGTTGGCACAGCATGCAAAGCTGCCAGTACATTATTGTCAATCGACACCGCCAATGCCTCTGCGAAGCTCTCATCTGAATCTGAGTACTCGGGATTGTAGAATTTCCAAACATCAATGTACGGTGGATCTGGATTGGGTATGGCCACACTGAAGACGGACTGACTGCCCGGAAGCACGATGTCTGTCGATTTCGGTTGTAGCTTCTCCTTCATAAGTTTCAGATGCTTCTCCGTCTTTGACATGGCCTCATCGAACACAGCCCTCCTTTCAGAGAACGTGCCAAATGCTGGGTCTCTGTGACTCCCCTCCGTCCTCGGTTTCTTCTGTTGTCTGGAAGATGGATGAAGAAAAGGTCGATGAAAACCAGGGTCGACCATCGGGACCTCTTTCTTGTGGATGGAGATGGGCACATCATCCAAATTGGACGTCGACTTCTGTAGAGTCTCCTGCGACACCGGGGCCGTCTGCTCCTCGTCGCTGAATTCCGCTGAAGGGTACATCGGGTCGACCTTCAATGGTATCTCCGATTTCTGATCCTTCTTCTGTTCCGTCTTCTGCTTCTGCTGCTTCAGTGGCTTCGAGGGTTTGTCTCGTTGCGCCTTGGCTCGTTGTGCCTTGGCCCGTTGTGCCCCCGGCCCCATGGAAGAAGAAGCAACTTCTTCGTTTTCGGAAGATGTAGATGACGAAGAGGAAGACGATTGTGTATCGGCATTCACCCTGCCAGATTCCAATTGTTTCTCCAGCTCTTCCAGAGCTTCACGGGCGATGTTGGCTGCCTCCTGTTCTTCCACCACTGCTAACCTGATGAATTCCAAAGGCATGCCTTTGAGCTTGTTCTGATAACGCAGCCACACTCGCTTGACTGCTCCATCCTTCCTCTCCACCGCCACCACCACTGCAGGGCCCACCCAGGAGATGTTATCTTGCATCCGTCTGGCCAGTCCTCTCCGGTTGGCCGGTGGCTCATAGAACATCACCTGTGCGCCCTCAGTGATGAGCTCCAGTTTTGGCAGCCTCGATCTCGAGCCTGCCGCCCTCCGCAACACCTCATTGGCTTCCATCCATTGAAAGGCTTCCGTTGCCGCCTTTCTGATCTGTGAAGCTCTCTGAAATGATTCATCCACTGTCGAGGGTTGTGAAAGCTGGAACTTCATGTGACCGGCAAGGGTGTCCATCAAGTTGTTGGGTGCACCACATTCTTTTCCAAATACCAATTGAATCGGAGAAAATCCGGAGACTCTTGCTTGTCTGTTCCTTGAAGCTGTGACCGACACCACAGCCTGCTTCAAGTCCTCCAGCCCCACCACCGTTGTCTCCTTGATGACCTTCATCAGCAGGACCTTCAAGACTGCCCCATGACGCTCAGCCAATGCCATGCGCCAATGAGCCGATGGTGGGACCACATCATGAAAAACAGCAAACGTGACCAACAGGTACTCCAAGACTCCCCTGAACTCCGTTCCTTGATCTGTCATCAACACCGATGGAGGACCAAAAACTCCAAACCATCTATCTCTAAGGAGTTCTGTCGCAGTTTCTGCGCATGGGTCCTTAGAAGCCACGGCAATCTGGTACAGGGAGAAGGAGTCCAGGACATGGGTCACCGCATATTTGTCATTGTTGGCATCCCAGACATAGAACGTGTCAGCCACAATGCGTTCATTGAATGCCATAGGCCTTTGAAATGCCGCCTTGGGAATTGCCATAGGCGGCACCACCTGAGCCCATATTTGACACTGGAGCTGCTTGACCGCCTCTATGATCTCCTTCTGGGCTCCATTGAGTTGAAGCATCCTCTGCAACTTCTCGTTGGAGATGTGTCCCAACGACACATGCAGGTGAGCCAAAGTTGATCTGATAGTCCGATGTAGCAAAGCAGCTCCACCAGCGAAGTTGATGTCTTCATATCGAGTACCATTGTCCACCATCCTCATGTGTTGCCGTAATTGACCTTCGGGTGTTGGCTCCACTTCCGCCGGCACCGTCTCCCAAATGCGGTTTGGTGGTACTTTGGCATGTAGAGGAACCACGATCTGCTGTGCCGATTCCTCCAACGCACTTTCAAGACCTGTCAGCAACCAATTGCAAAACTCTTCTGACCATCTTGAAGCCAAAGTCGACCTTCTAATAGAGATCCATTTATCTGTGCCATTCGGGTCTTGTATGCGCACACTGCCTTCAATTGGTTCATGTTCTCCAGGCTGATGGTTACACTCCATAGGCGGAAATGCCGTTGAGGTAATGCATGGATGGTTCATCTGAATTGCTGTGGGCTTCTTGTGGGGTTTGCCGCTCACTTGATCCACCAGCCCCATGCGACACATGTGTACCACTTGTTGATGCACTGGATTCCTCCTGCTCATCAATGGCATCTTCAGGGCATCGCTCTGAGCCGGCTGTTCAAGCACCACAAGGCGGCCATTGGTGGTCTGGTACGACCACACCCACAGCACAAACTCCCAAAACGGCAGATGTTCTCTCCGAAGAGCACTCAGGATGTCCTTCCGCTTCCGCATCCTCTGCCAAGATGACCAGGGACCACACGGAGGCGAAAGTGTGATGACCTCGGGCTTCTGCGCATCAATCACGTCCTTGAGCATCTGCTGATGTTCCTCGCTGGTCAAATCAAGGCCATACAGGACATCTTGAGGTGGTAGTACATCCCACCTTCCCGTTTCATGGGCCATTTCCGACAGAGTGGCTCGTCCTGCAAAGATCTCCATCAGCGACCATCTCTTGTACTTCATCTTGATGACATCATAGATCCTCGCATGGGTTCGCAAGGCCTTCTGCACCCCAATCTGTATTGATCGTTTTTGCCTTCGGTTCAAGGTGATCTTGTGTTTTCCCGGATTGTTCCTTTCTTCCGAATGTAGTACATCTTTTCCGGAATCATGTTGTGGAACATCTTCAACACCTCGGTGTCGCGCTCCATCAGAAGGATCACCTGCACATACCAAATCAATGCGGTCTTGTGTTCTCCGTTCCTGTTCTCGCACTGTTGGCGCATTGGGATCACTGATCATTTCCTGGAGGCACTCTTGCTTCGGCGGCGAGGTCCGTCGGGTTCCTCCACCACCTCCTCTGGCGTCAGTCCCAATGCCAACGGATAAACCTTGGGGTTGAAGCACAGCTGTCTTGCCGAACCGATGTGACCCCACATCGACGCCAGATGGCGCCCGTGCATGTGTAGGATCCAACGTGGATTGCGCTTCCAACGTCTCTTGCCCTCGAACTCCACGGCCTCCTTGATGCGCAACATCAGAAGTAACAACTTCCATTTGAACGTCAATGTCTGGGTCCACAGTGAGCGCATCACGTTGAAGGTCAGGTCGTGTGAGAAGACGTTGGAAAGTGTCGGAAAGTCCGCCTGCGGATGTGTCAGAGCGCCCTGCTTGGCTGTCTTGGGTCGGGAAGCCGACTTGGCTCTCGACTTCTTGGGCTCCTTGGGCATCTCCTCCTCGGCAGGCTGAGTTGCAAGGTGCTGCATCTGCATGAACATCTGTTGCATCTGCGCTTGCATCTCTTGCATCTGTGCAAGCTGCAGGTTGGTGCTGGCCTGTGCTCGAGCCGCTTGTGTTCTGGTAACCGGTGAAGTTGTCGGCCTCCTCAACTTGGTCGTTTGTCGAACCTTCCTGGTTGTTGAGGGTCTGTTGACATCCTCCTCCTCCACTGCCTGCATCTCGTCCGATGAGATCGTTTGGCCGGCCGTCTCCCATAGATCCTCCGTCTGAGCCAGGGACATTGCTCGGGATGCGGTCGACCGAATCCGAGGGATCGTCAGGCGAAGCAAACATCACGCGCCTTGATCCACTGGAAATTTGCAGGGGCATCACTTCACGGTAAGATTCCAGCATTGCATGTTGTGGGACTTCTTGCAAGTGTTCAATGTCATCAATCTTGATGGTGTAGTGACCCCCACGAGACTGATACAATCCAAATGCCTTGACATGATGTTTCCGTGATGAAATTGTATGCGATGCTGTGTCAACGACCAACCCCAATGCAGAACACACAGGTTTCGATAATAATGGAGGACAACTTCCAGCAACCACTGAAATACGAAGTAGGCAAGGGATCGTGGCAATGGACACATGCAAAATGATTGCAAAACGACTTTGATTGACATGACCATCCCCAAAACGAAAAGATTCAGATTCCGGAACAACTTTGACAAAATGACCTTCTTCCTTCCATCTCTTGACCACCGGGTTGACCCAAGCCGTGCCCGCCACTGTCTTCATGCATCCCAAATCCAAAATCATCTTGTCCCCCAATTCGGTGAGTGACCAACAAATGTCATGTATTTCATTCGGGGTCTCAACCATGAACTGACATGAAGGAAAGTGGCCAGGCTGAGGTCTCATGCTCCCTTTGTACTGCGCATCGGACTGCACACATGCCTTCAAATAGGCCCAGTCCGATTCCGACTGTGCCATTGCCACCGGGAAGGTCACATTCGAGGCATGCACCGGAGCTTTGTTCCGATACGGGTACTCCTGTGACCAATGCCCCAATTGCCTGCAAATGAAGCAGGGCTCGGTCTTCTGCTGCTCCTTCACCCATTTGCGAACCTGTTCCCGGTCCCTTGTGTTGCCACCACCACCATTGGCCTCCTTTTGGAAGTACTGCCGCATCTTCTTGATCTCTCTGACTCGGTTTCGGGCCTTGTATTCCTGCGCAAAGATCTCTGCCATGGCCAAGTCATTGGAGGATGACGTTGATGTACTGGAAGCAGTTGATCCCTGAGAGACTGAGCCAGCTGAGCCATTGGCCACTTCCATCGCCGCATGGCTACTTCCTCCAAAAAAGGTCATGTCCTCTTCGTCCTCATCCATTGACTCTTCTCCCATGCCTTCCAAGATGGCGTCTTCATCTCCATCTTCTTCCAAGTTCTCATCGTCCTCCAAGATTGCCATCAAAGTGTCTCGGAATCTCCGGCGTCCAAAAAACCGTTTCTTCCTTCGCACCTGTCCACCTCCGGAACTGGTAGAAGCCGATCACAAGGATGTAGCGCTCGAAGTCACCCCAGCCTTTTGGACAAGGTATTTGTCCTCATGGTCCAGTGTCGGCTCTCCTCTGCCGATAGGGCATCCATGGATGCCCTCCAACTGGTCGGCCAGGTCGATGATGGCATTTGTAACCAAGTTTTCATCTTCCAAGGTGCCTCCACAGGCAGCTTTGATCAGCGCCTGGTCTCTCTTGGTCAGCTTTGCTGCATCCATGAGGTGCCCCACATAGAATTGGGAACCAACCTGATACGCCGGGCTCGATTGGTTCTCCCGGCGGTAGATCTCCACCCGGTTGATGAAGGACTCTAATGACTCCTGAGGCAACCGGGAAAGCTTCATGAATTTTTGTCGCCGTTGATCAATCTTCTTCTGGTCCAGCAACTTGATGATCGGAGACTTCTCCATGACATTCTTGATGATTTCGATGCCCCTCGAAGATGACACCTCCTCGACTGTCAAGTGCTGGACAATCTTTCCTGCACGTTCTCGAAGCTGCTGCATCAACCTCGGGCCCCTCATTTCTTCTGGCAAGGATCTCCCTTCTGAGGCTATCCAGAACATGACACTCCTCCAATACTGCTCCCATGATTCACCTGGACGGGCATAGTAAATTGGAGGGTATGTAGAGCTGATCTTGCCAACCGTTGCAACAGCCTGCTGGCTGTTTCCGCCCGCTATCGAGGGAACTCCACTCGGAATTTCCCCTGACGGGCGGTTCACTGCATCCTTTGTACCACCTTGTGGAGAGGTCGGCTCCCAAGGCTTTTCCACATCATGCCCTTGCGCTTCTTTGGATCCTTGGCGATGAACTTCTCCCTGAAGTCTTCCAAGATCACCAGGTCTATTCCTATGATCGCCGCCTGGTTCTTGTCCCCAACGGTCAGCATGTCCATCATGCGATTCCGAAGAGCTCCATGTCGACCAGTTCGGGTTTCCTTCTGACATCTCTGATGTTGCTGATCTCCATGACCAGTTACTCCAGCGATCATGATCTGACCTGTCCGACCAACTGCTTGATGACCAGTTGCTCCACGATCGAGAGCCACCTTGCCACTGGCCCCAAGCATCTACCTCTTGATCTGCACTTGCCAAAGACGAAGCATCCGACCAATTCTCCGCTGCATATGTTCTCCACGGATCGTTGCGAATCCATGGATCCTGTCCTTCTGGGCTCATCCAAACTACTCCATGGGCTCCCGGTCTTTCGGTTGCTTCCCGGACGTGTCTACCTCCTTCTATGGCTTCTTCTTCCACAGCACTGCTCAAATCAACTGAGTCCCCACTGCTGTCGGGAGATGCCAAAGAAGAAGAGGACGTCGCAGGTTCCACTGCCCCGAAAGTCACCCGGGATCTCCTCCGAGCAAAGTCTGGTAGAGGAATCTCACCAAAGCTCGGAGCAGCTGTTGCTCCAGTGAA